CAAGGAGCTGTAGGGAGGAGGAGTAACTGAGCAACCCGTTCTCCTGCTGGGATGGCAACAACCCCACTGTCCACTGATGTCATTATTTTAATCTCTCCCTCACTATCCTGGTCTATAACACCGGGGTGTACCTGGATGCCTCGAAGAATAGGACTGGACCTTCCCAAAAGTAGTCTGACTGTTCTTGGGGACAATGGTCCATGTACCCCAGTGGGGAGGGCCTGGATCCCCATCTAGGGTGTTAGGACTGCCTGGGTGCATGGACCGATGTCCAGTCCTGCACTGCCTGAAGTAGCTCTAAGGAGGTCTGAGATATGAAGGGGTTGCTCTGGGGGAGTAAACGAATCTTTCTGCTGCCCACAGCAGGGGTCATTGCCCCATACACATGGGTTTTTGAGCCCTGGGGTGGGCCCCTCTTCCAGTTTTTTTTTGATTATTAATAGCAGGAAGGAAATTGCCCCCCAAGTCAGTTCTAGAGTAGCAGTCAGTGGTCCAATGATATCCCCTTTGGCAGCGGGGACATAAACCAAGTCTCTTGAGACTAGTAGTATTATTTTGAGGGTACTCTCTATGGAAGTGTCCCTCCCTACCGCAGCTTAAATTGTTTTTCTCCCTCCCTGATTAGATCTTTCTTTTCCCCCTTGGGGTCGAATAGCAGCAGCTAACACTTGGCCCTGGATGAAATTACCATCAATGTCTCTACAGATCCGGATGTAGTCATTTAGACTTTTGTTGCGGTAGGGGTGAAGGGCCTCCTTACAGTACTTATTTGCATTTTTGAAAGCCATCTGTTTGATGACTGGCATCGCAGTCCCAATGCCCACAAATATTCTCTCAGGTACCTGACTGAAGCAGTCTACAAAGTCTTGGAAAGGTTAGGTGGGTCCTTGAAGGACTTTGGACAGGTTATCCCCTCCTTTCTTGGAAGGCAATGCTTTCCAAGCATCTTGGGCTGCTGCTGCCACTTGGGCATAGACAGCGATGTCATATTGCATTTGTTGTTGAGCGGTGGCATACTGAACACTCCCAGTAAGCATCTCCACATTTCTCTGGGGCTGTCTAGCCTGTGCATTTCTTTGAGCTGTCTGGATGCATCTTTTTTGAAACTCACCTCTCCAAATCAAATAATCTCCCCCGGACAAAGCTGCTCTGCAAAGCTCCTGCCAATTGCCAGGTGTGAAATTAAGAGGCACAAAAGATTCCATTAAGGAAAGTGTAAAGGGAGCCTGTGTTCCATAGTTTAGAGTTGCCTCTTTGAGTTGTTTTATATCTTTGAAACTTAAAGTGTCATGGCGCCAAATGACCTACTCAGGATTGTTTGGGTCTGGAACTTCCATTACTGGGGCCACCACTGGGCAGCATTGGATCCCTCCTCTGGGTCTTCCCTCCAGGTCCGAGAAGGAGGAGTACCTCATTTTAGAGTATGGAGGAGGGTTTCTCTCCCTGTTCTGTGCTTTTTTAAGGGCCGCGATCTCAGCAAGTAACTGTTAAGCTTACTTAACAGTCTGAGCTAATTTCATTTTCTAGGTCTGACAGAGTAGGATATACCCGATTCTGAGTGGAGTCTCTCTTTTTGGGTCATGCCGCGAGATCTCTATTCATTCTTTTGTTGTTGCTAAGAGACTCCTCCTCATCCTCACTAACAATGGAGCCTCTAGTTTCAGGCAGGGTTTCTCTAGAAGATTCATCGTCACTCTCTGCCTCAGAACTCAGGGAGGCTTGAGTCTCAGTCTCTTGTAACTCTGAAAAAGCCTCTTTTGTGGCCTGGACTACCTGGCAGTGGCTAGCCTTATCTGTCAAAAGTGCGCCCCTCACTAATCTCCATAAGGAGAATGTGGATGGGGGCAGGGACTCAGATCCCTCTTTTCGTAAATGTTGATGAAGATCACAATGAAACTCCTCTGAATCTGGGATATTTAAGCTTCCCAGTAAGGAACCATGGACTGGCTCATTCGATTGATTTTAGGAAGCTGTATAGGGTTTTAGACATGACTACGGTCCCTGGTCCTTCAAGCAACTTTTTAACTTGATACTGTAATTTAAGCTTCCTGGAACTATAACCCATAACCCATCCATTCTTTTTTTTTATTTTCCCCAATCTGTCCCTGGCCAGAAAAGAGAGATGAACCCACCCACATTCCTCGCTTTCACGATCTCGGTGGAACCTCCAATTGCCGTGCCTCCTGTGCAGCCTGCATCTGAGATGATACAGAGACCGGTCGGTTGCATTAAGAAAACTTTATGCTCCCCAAATTGGCTTAGGAGGACTTTCCAAGAAAAACACTTCCCTTCACAAAGACTTCTGCCATCCATACATGCACAAATCTCCAACCGACCTCTCACACAACTCTCACAGACCTCTTACTTCCTCCTGGCTGGTGGTTAAATCTATGGCCCCAGAATTGGAAAACAGCAGGGAGTAGCTAGTCATGGGGAAGATCAAAGTCATGGTGTTTCAGTGAGTGAGCCCTTATCAGAGCACTTATCAGGAGCTTATGGCACTGAATTGTTTTCAGTAAACATGTATTCAGTAAACATTGTCTCGCAGGTGCCTGCTCCCAGGCTGATGGAGGGGTGGGTTTCTGAACAATGTCTGGTATCCCCACACACTCCCATCTCTATAATCTTACCCTGTCTCCTGATAACCCTTCTCTATACCTAATCCCTGATAACATACCTGGAGGGACTGTCAGGGTGGCCTTACCAACTGCATCTACTCACCCCTCCTAAATTCTTCCCCTATGTTTTACATTTTAGTTAAATTATTTCCCTGCCTTAACTATTATTCTAAATAAGATGTGCTTTTTGGACTGGGAGGTGCAGGACCAGGCACTGAGACTTCATTCCTTATGCTCTCAAACTGCCATTACTCAGAGCTTTGGACCTCTATAGATAATGACATCCATAGCTTAGAAAAGGGCATCACCTGCCTCAAAAACTCCTTAGTCAATAACCAAGAAACAGTTGCCCCCTTATTTTAAAATGTGAAGGAAAATTCATAGTCTTACATATAGCAGTGAAGTTCCTATAGTCTCTACTATCACATCGCTATGGAGATTCTTCTGGAAGGATCCAGCAAAGCCATACTTCTGAATGAAGTGAACATACACATTATCATAGGTCACTGCATTCTAAAATATGCCATAAATGCATAAAAAAGTGAGCCTGACAACACTGCAAATGTAAACATCTTTGAAAATGTAGGAATATAATTCTGGTGATTGCCACACTTATTCCATGACACAGCTAAAGTAATAACCAAGTTACTTGGAATGAAAACTGAATAGGAGGGTAACCTCTGTCATATCTGAACCATTTGAATGGGATATTCCCATGTTAAAGAAATGTCTTTTAACAGACATAGAGAGACAAGCAAACAGATCAATATTACTCATTACACATCATAGAAATTTCATGAACAATTACTAATTATAAGAAAGATGGGCAAACTGGGTGTGCCAGCTCATGCTTGTAATTGATTCAGGAAACAGGAAAAACTGTGGTACCTTGCGAATCAAGATTTAGCATTGGCATCATATTTTTGGAATCCTCGTTCAAGTTGTCCTGAGCATATAATAATCAACTGGCTGAAATATAAATATTGAGAAAAATAAAATGACCTTGGCTTAGGGAAAGAGCTTCAGTCCACTGAGTCTGGAGACCCCTGTAGGTATAAAAGGCTAAGTTCATTATTAAAAGTCGAACTGAGTCTTCTTTACACAGAGACTAGTGAACTCACACCCGAGTCTCCAAATCCTGGACAGGCAACTATCACACCATAAGGAGTAAACAAGTATGCCTGCTTCCTGGTCCTTTATATTTATCATTTTTTGTTCATAATGTTAACATACAAAAAAAACTTACAAGAAACATTGGATGCTAATTATGAAGATTACTGGACTCTGAGTTCCTTTCATTGATAAGAGAAGAAAGTCTTCTCCCACAGCCAAGAACCACATTCTCCTACTTGACACTGACCAGGTTAGGATGATGCTATACAATGACTGGCTTAGTTTAGAATCCTACAGCTCCAACCCTACTATGACCCCCTTAACATTATTGTTTGAAGTTTATTCTGTTTCCTGTTTTTTTTTCTGAATGTGTTTTCAATTTGGTGCATACCAAATCTGGAAAATATATAAATATCCTGTCATCTATATTTTTACAACCATTCTGTGTAATAATTGTATGTTTTAGTGCCTGAGATTTGTTTCCTGCATGTATCTATTATTAATTTGGATGTGCATTATATGCTTTTTCCTTTTGTTGGGGCCCAAAGTTGAAAATTGCTGTGAAATTGTTAATAATCCTTGTATGTGGTCCCCATTGGCATTGTGTATATCTCAAGGACTAGGGTACTTTCCACCAGTGAAACTTCTGGTAAGCTCTGTCTGCACAGAGTTTTTGTCTCTTACCTGTCTTTTTGTGTACCCACCTGCCAAGGTACCTCTCACACAGTATTATAACTTAGGTGAGTTTTCATTTTGGTCTTTAAGTTTCATTAACTTTCTAAGTTATTTCACATACTTACCAGTTTCCCTTCCCTTCTCTTCTCACATTCCCTCCCCTACTCTCCCTTGTAGCCCCCAACCACTCCTCCTCCATCTCCATAAAGAATGGTGCAGGCCTCTATTGGGAATCAACAAAACATGGCATCAAGTTGAGGCAGAACCAATGTCCTCCCCCTGCATCAAAGGCCTATTTCCTGATAACATAGCATGGAGCTCCACAAACAGACCAAGCTACACAATTGTCACACACATGCAGAGGGCTTAGGTCAGTCCCATGCAGGCTCTCTATCTCACTGTCCAGGGTCCATTGCTCCCAGGAGCTCAGGGCAGCTGTTTCCATGGGTTCTGGTGTTTTGACCTCGATTCTCCTGGCTCCTCCTCCATATCTTTGACATGACTCCTAGAACTCACCCCCGTGGATGCCTGTGGATCTCTGCATTTACTTACATCAGTTAGTGAATGAACTCTCTCTGATGACAACTAGAGTAGTCACCAATATAATTATAAGAGATGGCAAGTTCAGGGCACAAATCCACTATTTCTAAGAATTGTAGCTGGTGTAACCCTTGGGGATTCCTGGGTGTTTCTGTAGCACCAGGTTCTTCCCTAACCCCAAAATGTCCCCCATGAAGATATATCTTTCAGTATTCTGCCCTACCTTAAGCCCCCAACCCTGCTACCCAGATCCCACTAGTACCCATCTTACCCATGCTATTCCACTGCCCTCAGTTTACCCAGGAGTTCTTTTCTATTACACCCAGCAAAACTTTAGGTGACCATAGAATGAGAAAAAAAAGATATTTCATGATAAAGCCAGATTTAAACATTACCTACCCACAAACACAGCCCTACAGAAAGTGCTAGAAGAACTCCAGTTAGCTGCACTCACAAAAACACCAGCAACAGACATTTGCACAACAGCAAAACACAAAAAGGAAACACACACACACACACCATAACTACCATAGCAAGAATAAAAAATCAACAAAAATTAAAAATCACCTGGGATTAACATCTCTTAATATCAAGTCACCAATAAAAGTGACAGACAATCAGAATGGATATGAAAACAGGATACATTCTGCTGCTGCATACAGGAAACACACATGAACTGGAAAGACAGACATTACCTCCATACAAAGAATCAGAAAAAGATGGAACTGAAAATCAGGCCAGTGTAGCTACCCCAATATGTATGACTCTATAACACATTTTGCTTCCTTATGGTTTTAGGCAAATCCATCCCCAATGATGTCCAATCAAAAAAACAATGTGAAGAATAGTTTAAAGTTTGCTTCCTACCACATTGATGATGTCACAAGATGTGGCTTCTTCCTTATTCACCTGCAATATCTCTACAGCTCAGAAACTGATTTTGTGTCCTGGATCTGAAATTCACTGAAACACACCATGGTGGCTGTCAGCTACAGAATGTTGTAAGCATTCTAATCTGGTTTTGCTGAAGGGTGATGCCCATCACCTCCTTTCTCAGTTTCTAAATAATCTGTAACATTTATAAGACAAACTTGAATGTGGAATGTAATATGTAGAACTTTTAGAAACCAGACCATCTGTTTTCCAAGCAGTCTTCCCACTGTGCAAGAAAAGCAATGCCTGAGTGTGCACAATGGACAGTGATATTACCAGCACACAGTCTCCCATGCCAGGACGGTGGAACATCCCCCTCCCCAGGGAATCCGCAGTAAACAAAGCTCAGAGTTCAAGGGCCACTGCCCAGGTCAACACAGGGACCAACAGAACCTCAATCTGGCTCATGTTCCATCCCAGTCCAATCAGTATAGATTCTGAGTGCTCAGCCAATCTGCTCTTCCTGATCTGGAGACAGTGGCCCCCACACTTACTATGAGATGGCTTGGGGTCTTCATTACAGCTCCCAATTGCATAACAACAGGAGAGTCCTGGAAAGAACCTATAAGCTACCTCCAACAGGTGTTGCTAATGGCTAAGTCTTCACAAAGTTTCTTATTAGTTATGCTGACCCTGTTTGGCTTTAGGACATTAGCAATCACCCTACTGATTGAGCAGAGACCAGATGACTCAAACCACACTGGCCCTCCCTGCATTGTCTTTCCACACTCCAGTCAGGCAGGGTCCTGATGTGAGAAATTAGTAGTGTAGTTAAATATTTTAATCACCCAGAACACTCTCTGTTCCTTTTCCAAGTCAGAGGGTGCTCTATGTGTACATTCAATTATACCCTCAATGTCCAGCACAGCCAATCCTTTGCTTCAAACCCTGCAACCAAACACAGTTCACATTCAAAGAGTATCTGATGTTAAAAAAAATGCCATGGAAGAGAACACAAGGGAAGGGTTATGGGAGACCTTGTAGGCAGGAATGAGCGAGTGCAAATATTTTCATATAATCTCAAAATGTATATTAAAATGTTGAAACAGGGGCCTGGAGAAACGATTCAGTGGTTAAGAGCACTGGATATACTTTCTAGGGTCATGAGTTCAATTCCCAGCAAGCACATGATGGCTCACAACCATCTATTATGAGATCTGGTGCCCTCTTCTGGCCTGCAGGTGCATATCCTGGCCCAACACTGCATAATAAATCTTTTTAAAAGTTGAAACAGGCATTCTGGCCAGGTGCTCCAGAGACTATGGATTTGTATTAGAGCACACTATTTCTCTCATAGCTCTCTTCTTAAACCTGGATAAGCTGTCGTATTAGACAGAGCAACACCATTTTATCCAGTTCTCCTATTTAGGTTGAAATGGAGTAACTACAGGAATTTGGATTCATGATATGTTCTGTTCTTTATCTAGATTCTTGATTGCCTGATCCTGGAAACTGAGAAATTGCCGGTCAGGACACTAATGGAACATTTAAAATTGATTACCTGACTCCACATGGGTCATCAGGATCATGCTACCCAGAAACTCACACACCTCCTTGGAATTTTTGGGTGGTGGATTCAGGGCTACAGCCTGTTTTAGTCCCTCTGTCAGCCATCTCTGATCATCCTGAAGCTGATACCCTAGGTAGGTGACTTGCTTCTTACAGAACCAAGCCTTTTTTTTTTTTTTTTTTGCTGAAGCCCGATATCCCAATTCCCCCAACCTTTGTAATAACATTGGAAGCAGTCATGTTCTGATTCTGTGGCCAGAAGAAGATCATCTACATATTGGAGTAAAACTATATTTGGGTTGTGGACTCGGAAGTCTGCCAAATCTTGGTGCTGGGCTTCATCGAGAGGGTTGGTTAGTTCTTGAACCCTTGAGGAAGTCGCATCCATGTGAGCTGGCCAGAGTACCAGGTCCCAGGATCTTTTGATTCAAAGGCAAATAGAGGCTGGCTCTGAGGTTTCAGTCTGTGGCAAAAGAATGAATCTTTAAGGTCGAGCACCATATACCAGATGTGGCTTGGAGGCAGCATGCTCAGTAAATTGTAAGGGTTGGGTAATGTTGAATGAATGTCCTCAATCCTCCGATTCACTGCCTGGAGGTCCTGCCTATAGTCCCCCATGCCTGTCTTCTTCACAGGGAGGAGGGGAGTGTTCCATGGACTATGACAGGGTTTAAGGATACCCGACTGCATTATCTTGGTCTTTCTTTGTCTCCCAGGTCCTTAGATTGTCTATGTCTATTTTTAGACTCCTGCACTACGGTGGCCAAATTTTTTGTTAATTCCTGATGTTGCTTTCTATCTCTCTTGTCCTCTGTCTCCTCCTGCAACTTACTAAGTCTCTCGTTCTATTCCTGCATCTCCCTTTTGCTAAAAAAAAAGTCTTTTCAGCCTATTTCACTAAGTCCTGCAGGGTATATCCCTGCAGCCCCTCAAGACATTGTAACTTAGTGCGTGTATTGGGTGCTGACTGTCCGATGAATTACATGATTATGTCAGCTTCCCTCTCCTGGGCCTGGGGGTCAAAAGGAGTATACATCCTGTAAGCCTCCATGAGGCACTCTAAAAACCCGGTGGGGGTTTCTTCCTTACATTGAGTTACTGCATGTACCTTAGCCAAATTTGTGAATTTGTGGGGCATCTCCCTGCCCCTTTGGGACCCACCAACAGAGTCTGGTGATAGACACGGTGATGCTCTCTACCATGTGGTGTGTTGAAGTCCCATTCCAGGTGGGTTAAGTGAAAGTGTGCCTATATCTCATTGGGAAGCTGGGTAATTCTTCTGTCTGGCCCCAGGACGTTCTTTCTAGCAATAGTGGAGAGACCACCTCGAATGCCCATTCCTGATAATGAACTTGATGTCTGTAACCATCCTGGAGCCTTCAATCAGTGACTGATGGAAGCAGAGGAAAACACACACAATTAAGCACTGAACTGAAGCCAAGGAACCCAGTGACAGAGAGAGAGGAGTGATGAGCAAATTGGCAAAGAATGGGCTGGCAAAAACAGCAGAGACAGCTGATCTGAACAGGGGAGTGCTCTTGGACCCCAGACCGACAGTGGGGAGGCCAGCATGGGACTGATCTGGACTCCCCAAATGTGGGTGTCAGTGAGAAGGCCTGGGCAACCTATGGGGCCCTGAGCTGTGGATCAGTGTCTATCCCTGGTATACAAACTGTCTTCATGTGCCTATAGCACAAAGAGAGATGCTCTCTCAGCCTGGACTCTTAGGGGAGTGCCTTGACCCTACCAAGAGTAAAATGACAGACTCTAGATATCCCCTATGTGGAGGGATTTGGCAGTAGGGTGGGAGGGAGGGGGAAGGGGAGTGCGGGAGGAGAGGAGGGACAGGGAACTGGGATTGACATGTAAAACAAGCTATTTAAAATTAAAATAAAAAATGATTAAAAAATGTAATCAGTGTTGTAGAGCTTTTGCCAGTCATGGTCAGCTTAAAAGACATCAAAGAACACATACTGGAGAGAAAGCCTATGAATGCAATCAATGTGTTAAAGCATTTTCAGAATGCTCTAACCTCCACAGACATGAAAGAACACATACTTGAGAGAGACCCTATGAATGTAATCAATGTGGTAAAACCTTTGTATGTATCTTCAATCTTATAATCATACTGCAGAGAAACCCTATAAATGTAAGCAGTGTGGTAAGATTGTGTAATTTGTATATCACACTAATATTTGAGGGCCTGAGAAAATTCATACAGAAAGGGATTTTAATGTACAGGTATTGGTAAGATCTTCAACCAACACCTTTAGTAATATAAGATTCTGGAGAGAAAAATATCTGACAAGTGTGAACAATCTGTTCAAACATTATGATGTCTATATTTTTTTGCCCCTGCAAACTCATGTATCCAATATTGCTATGAATTCACTGGTGATGAAACCCTTTTTGATTTCACATTTTTTATAAAAATAAAAAACATCATTCAGATTGGTTGCGTTCTCTAAATTCAATCCTTATTGCTTGCCTTCTGTTACATGAACAAATTCATGATGAAGGGAAACTGTTAAGACGTTAAATGCCTCAACACCTGGGTAAGAAGAATGAATGCTTGCAAGGGAATATTTTCATGTGTGAAAATCTGTTATTTGGAGATTTTTTAATTTTAATTATGTGATG